TCTCTTTCCACAGAGGGGACACATGTTGATGTAGAAGAGACATGAAGAAGTGGATTTTGCATAATAGGTGACCGCTAAATAAGAAACACAAACTGGTGAAAGCAGGGTTGGCTGTTTCTATGATGCAGAGCTGTGACAAAAACTAATTTCCACTCTTTATTTAAAATACATCACAGTCAGTAGAGCTACCATATCATATCCTCTTAATTCATTCAACAAGAAAACAAGGAGGCAGTGAGTTAAAAAACATTTATTCTAATCCCTGTGTAGTTCATTGTTTCGTGTGCTTGGCAGCGCTCCTCAGGCCTTCGCCAAGATGCAGACGAGGAAGAGTGTGAGCCAGGCTTTGAAAAACAGCGGATCAAAGACTTCATGTTTCTGGTAAAAGCAGAACATTTGCTTTTTGGTTTCCCACGGGTTCGGGTGTTTTTAAAACTGAGACCTGCGAAAGTGCACTGCTTGAAGAACAAAGGTGTCCTGAAAACATCTGCATGTGTCAGAGCTGCATGGAAGTGAGAGTCATGTCGGTCGGTGCTGTGAAGATTTATTTATTAATGACAGAAAAATACAGAAGATGAGGATGATGAGAAAAGTATTTGACTGTGTAGATGAGTTCACTTCCATAAAACAAACTCTCCATCAACCTTTCTGCCTTTACAGGAGGTTTTTATTTTAAAGGCACTGCATGAGATTTATTACATGTCATACATAATCTTCTCTCTGACATTCTCCTGAATCCATCTTTTTCATTATGTTCTCATTATCGTTTTTAACATATCGATTGTCTATGTTGTAATTTAATGATGTTGTTTGTTCCGTAACATGACATTGCAGGTCTGTCCTTCCTGGGAAATGGATGTGTCCCCATTATTCTGAACATTTAGGGGTTTCTTTTGGTTGGTTTGGATAAATGTATTTTAAGCATCCCAAATTGTTATCACAGCAGCTTGTAATTTCACAGAAAACATTTACATAGTGAAATATCCATATCTCAAAGTAACTGATTTTATGGAGGAATGTGAGGGATGATTGTATTCAGCCCTGTGGTGTGAACATGTTTCTCTAATTATGTAATTCTCTTTCCAGCCTCATGGGGAAGCTGTAGTTGAGCATTTAGAGCAGGAACATCACAGGTTGCACTGGTCCAGTTTTGCTCGGTACATTTAGGACTTTTTCCTGCCGTGTATCCATGTGTTGGAATATCCTCACGACTAGGGGATGTGTTGCCATGAAACCTCATGTCCCTGTCAGGATAATTTACTATCAGTTTGGTGATCCTCTGACTCTTATACAGCTCATAGTTTGGTTTATGATTACATACTTTGTGAAGGCCACAGCCACACAGGGTAAACCAACTACACTGCGTCCTCATCTTCAGTACGTTTGCTTCAGTGCAGCTGCAATAAAACATGCCAATTAACACCACACATTTGCTCTAAATGGTAAACTCTTTATTTGATGGTAATCTGACATTACTTCAAACATTTTAGCACAGCTAACACAAGTACTTGTTTGTATTAATTACTTTCTTTGTCTCTTGAGTTACCATGTCCATTGGGGGAGGTTACTTCCTGGTTCAGCAGAGGGTGTGGCCGAGCGCTGAGGACTCATAAATACTGCAAGGAGCCAATTGAGACAGATTGGGACAAACTATTTATGAGTCCTCAGCGCTCGGCCACACCCTCTGCTGAACCAGGAAGTAACCTCCCCCAATGGNAGTTTGTACTTTGTTGGTCGAACGCACTTATTGTAAGTAGCTTTGGATAAAAGCGTCAGCTAAATGTAATGTAATGTAAATGGGCAGAAAAGGAGGAAGGACAGCAGGAAATGTATTGATACGGCGAGTTAAATAAGGCCGACGTGATGCAGGCCTGCAGGACTGAACCTGATCATCTGCAAGTGGACATGCAGTGCGAATAAAAATCTGTCTGCACCGACAAACAAGACTCAGTTTAGCCGACTCAGCTCCCCTCAGCCACTAAAAGTCCCGGCAGTGCTAATTAGAAAACTCATTAAATTGTTATTTCACAAATATCTCAAGTCAACATTCATGTCTTTTTACTGCAAAGGTGGATTTTTTAAATACAAATGGTGCAACTCTACTGGAAATGGAAACAGCTGTAATTTGCAGCTACTTTGCACAATTGTAATGTATTTATAATCCAATTCCAATATGTGTCTCTAGCTTATTTATATATATTCCTGTAGCTTATTGAGACTGTATAATGTCAAGCACTCAATTCATTCAATATTTTCGTTATATTGTGTATTATCTACTCTAGTGATGTCCTTTCTATTGTGAATTTGCGTATATTTGCCACTAATGTGAATTTTCTATCTATCTGATGAACCAACAACGGCCGTGTTTGTGTGATGGCGCCTCACCTCCGTTCAGGGAGCCGTTGTGGGGTAATACTTTTGTGGCGTAGTCATGGCCGCCGTGCGTTTTGGCCCCTTCAGCGGGGGGGGCCTCGGTCTCCAGCAGGCCTTCCTCCTCCACGATGTGCAGCTTGTCCTCGTCATCAGAGTCTGAACTGGCCTCCAATCCGCCATCGTTGAATTCTGTCACTGCGGAGAAGACACACAGAGACGGAAGATGATCTAACTTGTAACACAAATTACACAGGTACGTTACAAGCAATTTACTTTGGTGTATGAAAACCATAACCATCTGAAAAATAAACTACATAAGAAAATGAGATGTAAGAGAAGGTCAAAAATATATAACGAATAAAAAAGAGAAAAAAAATAAAGACAAGTTTTACACAAAATCTTTATTTACAAAATAAAATAAAAAAATAATATAAGCCCTCCAATATAAGTGGAGGGCTGTGCAGAGATGTGTACAATATTCAGAGGGATGAACATGACACTCAGTATATAAAAAAATAACAATATGTTGGTCACATGATTTGCATTATGGGGTGGTTGCGCTGTGTAGCGTTCATTCTGATTCCCATTGTTGAGAGGGAGAAGCCCCCTGCTGCTGTAATCAGTGTCTGATTTACATCTGGGTTACAGAATATAGGCAATTAACTGCAATTACTGACAAGCAGGACATCAGTGTGATCAGCATCTGAGCTGCAGGGGGAAAGCAAAGCAACGTGGTTCTGTTGAGTCTGATTAGAGCCCGAAGTGTCTCTCCTTTATACATTTCTAGCATAGCTGGCATCTCAGGACATAAAAAAAAACATGCTTAACTTACTGGCATTTTAAGAATACACAATGAGGTCCATGTCATTTAGCTAATTAATGTAAAATAGGCATTGTGGGATCTTACTCTCTAATTTAAAGCCACTCGTAAACGCCGTAATAGGTATATACAACACCAGCCATTTGAGCCTGCCACTGCAAATGTTACAGTAAAAATGTGACTAACATGAAAGCTATAACGTTGTGTTTATCTTTATGGAAATGTCTTCAAGGCGAGACCCCCGCACCTGAGCTACAAGCTTAAACATAACCCTGCTAACCAATTAGAGAAAGGTGGATCTGCAAAACGCAGCACAACACGGCCTCAATTAGCCCACCTACGCCAAGCAGGACTGAAGGCCACCATGGATCAGAAAACACTCCTGCTGCATCAGATTACATGAGGCACGGACCCCGTATCTTGTGTATTATTATATTTGAACCAAAGAAAGAAGACTGCGTTTTGAAATCACAGAAAAATACCTTTCATAGTCGTAGTCACACTTTTATTTTGTATGCAAAAGAGGAAACTGTGTAGGAACAAAATCAAATTGACATCTCAAAACCCAATTAACTAGCCACAATCAAAACTGTTTCAACTCCGAACCACATCTGACGTTCTCTGCTATCATTTGCTCCAAACTTCCTCACCTCAGTCGACTTCTGACTGGAGGTACACACATTTTCCTTCAGCCTCAGAAAGCAAATCTATTTACACTATGCTGCAGTCCATGAGCTTCTAACAACAGCTCAGAGTGAAAAACCAACAGGATGTTAGCACCATTATTCATGTGTGTGTGTGTGTGTGTGTGTGTGTGTGTGTGTGTGGTGTCGCGCGTGCGTGTTCTATGTGTGTCCTGTGAGTTACACAGGGATGTAAGTGACGATGAGCACCATGCTGTAGGTATTGAATTACTTTTTCACCGTCAGCATTTGTGCACTTACACTTGTGTGTGTGCACAAGTGAGTATACTGTATATATGTATGTGTGAGTGTGTACAAATGTGTGTGTGTGCGCCTCTCTCTACAGCAGGGTGGCTGTGCGCCTTGGTGGAGGTGCTGAAGACGCCTAATGAGGAAGTAAGCTTGGGTTGTTTGTTCAATGGTGACAGGTGCACACACACACACACACACACACACACACACACACACACACACTACCAGAAGTGATGAGGAGCTTCAGGGAGACAAATGCTGTCAATGATCCAGACAGACGAGTG